CATCAGAAAGCAAGAGACCCGAGAACTAGAAAAGCGAGGCTCACGGAACCATTTATCCCTCCGCCCTTCAATTAACCTCACGTGTTTATCGGCCAGGTTGGCCCAATAAATTAACTCCTTCAGTCCTCCCTTTCCGAGGAGACAGAGCACGGAGGCTGACTGGGCGCTCCTCAGGGCTGTGCGGCCACAGCGCAGGCTCCTGGAGACAAGATGTGAGGAGCCTGGCGTCACATGGGTGTCTCAGGGACATGCTTTGAATAAGAAGAGGCCTGGTTTGGCTCCTTGCCTAAGAAACAGCCCGGACCCAGATTAACATGTGTGATCCAGAGGTAAGGTGACCAGACATCCCGCTTTTGGCGGGACAGTCCTGATTTTTAACAATTTTTTTTCCTGTGTCCTGTGGCATTTTTTAAAAGTCCCGATTTTTGGAAAGAATGCATGACAAGCTAGGATATACGGTTTTCGGCTGCCATGTGGCTCTTTCGCCAGGACATGAGTTTTATCAATGGTGCCCCTCTTTTGTCCCACTTTGCCAATGTTAAAATCTGGGCACCTTATTAAAAAGGGGACCTGGGACTGAAATTGCAAGTACCAAAGGAGGACACTTTGCGGCTTGTCCCCCAACTCTCTGCCATTTAGCCACGTGTGGAGTAAGACGGGGTTTTTCGTCCCCAGCCCCAGCCAGTCCTGGGGCTTTGGGGCTTGGCTCAAGGGGAGTCCCTCTGGGACATGGGGGTACAGTGAATGGTGTGACCCTTTGCTGGGCCCGCCTACACAGTAGGGTATGCTGGGCCCCTCTAGGGTTTCCCGTATGGGCTCCAATACATTTCTTCCCTTTTGCTTTTAAAAAAAAAAGGTTGGTTTTTTTTTTTCTCCCGTAAACAACCAGTTCCAGTCTGAGAAACTCACGGGGGCAGTTGTACCCTGTCTTACAGGGTTGCTGTGAGTGGCATGGCCTTGATGGCAGCGTTTGGTTTTTGAGTTTTACGAGCCCTGGATAGCAGAAATGGCGCCGTGCTGGCTCACTGGTAGAACGGTCGCCTGCCTTGAGAGAGATTGAAACTTGATTCCTGGCCGGTGCATTTCATCCATAGGCAGCACCTGTCTGCTCTGATGAAGAACTGGTTTCAGCAGAGAGGAAAAGGCCTGGGGTCACCGTGGTCGTTCCCTACGTGGATCCCCAGGCGTGGCTCAGGCGTGGACACTGTGGAGTTCTGTTGGGCGCGCGTCACTGTGAAATGGCTGTCATTGAGTCAGCAGCCCACAATGGCAGATGGCAAGAGGGGTGTCCTGTTTGCCTCTGTGCCTGCAGGGGTCGAGGGACACTGAGTTCTCAATCAGCGTAGTTGCATTATGGGAACCAGCTGTTGAGTGAGTAGACGGCTTTCCTCTGAGTACCGGGATTTCTTATCAAGAGGGTGGGTCTTCCCAGCTACAGGTGCACCTCTCTATACCTGTCTGAGTGGTTTCCATCCTGTTTGTAATCATTCCCTTCATTAGCTTCAGCTTGCATGGGCTCTCTGAAATACCTGTGGGCTTGGGTGTAAATCTTGCCATGCACATGCCCTGCCTGTGCAGCAAAGGGGTGCCTTTCTTTCATGGCAAGAGCTGGGTCTTATATCCATTTGTAACACTGGCAACTTATACAAGCTACTCGGTGTATTTTTTTAAAACGGGGATGCAGTGGGGCGGCGGGTGGGGTATTGTGTCTGGGGGGGGAGGGGCTGATACTACTAACTGCCTACTCAGCTTGAGCCCACCTATTCCAGGCATTTCCTGAATGGATAGCCAGGTACTGAAGTAACCCTCTGGCAGGGAGTGAGTTTAGATGTCAGTATTTTGAAAGCCCTTGGAGCTGAGGTGTGAGCTGAGGAAAAGGGAGCAAAAAACTGCACTCAGTCTTTGAGGGCCTGTGCCCCCGGCATGACACCCTCTCGCCTCTCCCTGGGACCGCATCGGATGAAGCTGTGGGTGTCAACTGTCTTCTCTGATGCTCAGGGGTCCAAGGGCCCCTGGACGTGCGCCATCGCTGTGTGCTTCCTTTGTGGCCGTGGACGCTCACTTGCCGGCTCACTGAACCTCACGGTGTGATCTCCTCCTTGTTTAGGGCTCTGGCTGACATCTTGCGGCAACAAGGACCGATCCCCATAGCACACTGTGAACGAGAGACGATCCCGGCCATCGATACCTCTCCCAAAGAGAACACGCCAGTCAGATCGTCCTCCAAAAACCACTACACCCCTGTGCGTACGGCCAAGCAGACCCCAGGTAAGCCGCCGACAAGCCTTACCATACATTTAGCCTCAGGCAGGTGACAGAGTTTGTGGGGGTTCCCCTGCCTTTCGAATGCTGGGCCCTGAGCAGCCTGTACTGAGGGGCCTTCTCATCAAAGACCGGTATGTGGCAGGGTCTGGGGGCTGGGTCCCCTGGGAAGGGTTGCCAATGGGGGGAGACTGTAGCCAGAGTCTGGACTGGTGGTTCAGGAGTCTGCAGCAGCCATGGAGATGGCAGAGGAAGGTGCTACTGCCCGCTCCGGTCACACACTGGACATGAGTTACTGGTGCCACCAAGTCCACTCGGATGCATGGTGACCTCCTGCACTTAGATTGATAAATATGGAGGGTGTGTGCAAATTGCCGCTCGGGTATTGCTATCTCAAGACACAGGTTCCAAAATGTATTTGGCCTACCTCCCCTTTTAAGAAAACAAAATTACTCATTGTCTGCCTGGCAATTAAAAACTTTTCTATAGCCCATGAATCCAGGATCAAGCCCTGATCATTCCAGTGCTGCCCCCACCCCACCCCCACCCCGGGAAGGTATCAATCGCTTTGTGAAACCTTGCCTCCAGGAGCACTTCCTGGGGGTAAGAATGAGGTCTGCATTTTAGGGAGGCCCTTTCTGTGTTCTGTCAGTTCTCTGGATATGGGGTGAGTTGCCTTAAAATCACGGTCTGGCTTCTATTTGACTGAGATCATCCTGTAATCTTATGAAGCAATCTGGGCAGAGCTTCTTAGAGAGCTGAGAGATCAACAACAGATTCTTGAGGAGATGGAGGGACTTGAACCCAGGTCACTACGATGGGAGTAAGAGTAAAAATGTTAGTAACAACAGTAATCAAAACCAGCACCCTGCTCTGTGCTAAGCAGCGCTGTGACATGTCATCTGCGTCGTGTTATTTATTCTTCACAGAAATCTTTGAGTTTCTTATATTGTCCCCAGGTTATACAAGTGCAAAGTAACATTCTGATCCCATATAGCTCATAACAGAGAGGGCCGGTGTTTAAATCAAAGCAAACAGTAACAGGATTAGAAAGCCCTAAAATCCTAATCCGGTTGAGAAATTGAATCTAAAGTATCTGCGGGTATTTGTTATGAGTGCAGTTTGGAAAATCATTTTCTCACGGTGAGTGTGGCTAGATCCTACCTCTTGATACAGATTCTTCTCTGATGTTCATATCAGCAATCATCTGAGCTGAACTAATCCTGCAATTAGGGTAGACAACCACTAGATGTCAGGAGATGCATTTAAAAATCTAAGACCAGAGGAAGGGGGAGTGGGGGGAGAGGAGGAAAAATGAGTTGCTGATATCAAGGGCTCAAGTAGGAAGCAAATGTTTTGAGCGTGATGATGGCAACAAATGTACAAATGTGCTTGACACAGTGGATGTGTGTATGGATTGTGATAAGAATTGTACGAATCCCCAAGAAAATGATTTTTTTAAAAAATCCAAGACCAAAGCAAGGGATTGCTTAGATCAATGTATTTTTTAAATCCCTTCACTGTCTTAAGTCAGAAACCTTCTATTTGCCTTTAAGGGGATAATGTTAAATCTTTTGAGGGAGGATTCATTCTTCAAACATTCTGTTTGCTTTTGTGTTCTGTTCAGTGGATTCCAACTCACAGCGACCCTGTAGGACAGCTGAGAACGGCCTCCTGAGGTTCCTGGGGCTGTAACTTTCGGGGGAGCAGTTCACCAAACCTTGTCTCTTGAGGAGCCAATGGTGGATTTGAACCGCTGTCTGTTTTAGTTATGACCTGAGTGTTTAACCATTGTGCAATCAGGACTCCTTTCCTGAAAACAAAGAAACACGCATAGATAGATATGTGCAGACATATGCAGCCAATGTTTTGCATATGATTCAAGGGGATACCCCTGATTTAAGAGTAAATCTGAGGTACCTGCATGTTAAAGAATCTAGGTGTGTTTTCATCCATCCCAAATCACAGACCCTTGAAAGGTAAGCTAAAGCATCTAGACCTCTGGCTTTATCTACCTAGCTGAACATTAGAAGCACTTAGCAAGTTCTTATGCTGATTCCTGGGCCATAGAAGCCCCTCCCCAGTGTGATTCTAGCCTGGCAGCCAGGATGAAAAAGGGCTGGTCCACACGGACCCTCACAGCTGACGACTGAGCCCATCCGAAGGTCACACCAGAGGTCCTCACACGTGGCTGCACCTTGGAGTCACCAGAGGCGGCCTGGTGGTGCGGTGGTTGTGTGTTGGGCTGCTAACTACAAGGTCAGCAGTTTGAAACCACCCCTGGAGACCGATGAGACGTTCTACTCCCACGAAGAGGTACTATCTCGGAGAGAGATACCACAGGGGCATTCCTGCCCTGTCCTCTGTGGCGGCTTTGAGTTGGAATCGACCGAATGACTGTGAGCGAATGAAGTTACCTGGAACACGGGCAGGGGTGGGGCGGGGCGGGGTGGGGGTGGGGTTTAAAGAGTAAAGAGGCCTGGGTCTCACACCCAGAGAGTATGCTTTACAGGGAAATCTCCCAGTTATCAGTGAACTTAGAAATCCAGTCCCGAGTGAGTCTTTAAGTCTTCCAGTGGAATTGGCAGATGAGTTTGAAGAGGTGCCTACGGCTCTCCTCTAGCCTGACTTTAGTTCCGGGCCTGTGCAATGGGTTCGGAGCTGTAGCCGGGAAAAGTTGGAGTGACGAGCGACACAAGTGGGGCTGGCTCAATGGTCCCAGCTGGAGGGCAGCTGTCGGCAACGTCAGAGAGCAGGTGGGCAACGTCCCTATGGGAGTGAGAGGTGGAGGTGTGCCACTGGGGATGATCTGTCACTGGTGCTGGCGAGGGAGTGTGTTGAAAGTTCTCTGGTGATGCTGCCCCCATAGAGCGGGGTTGAGGCTCTCCAGGCTCTGGAAGAGAGCGTGCCCGGCACGGTGGGTTTAGCATTGGGCTGCTAACTGCCAGCTCAGAAGTTCTGCCCGGCCCACCACTCCCAGAAAGTTTCACGGAGTCTTGAAGGGACCGGTTCTCCTCTGCCCCGGAGGGCCCATATGAACCAAAATGGACTTGGTGGTGGTGGGAAGAGGGGATGTGCACCATAGGGGGGGCGGGGCCACGGCGGAAGGGGGGGTTGGGCGTATGGAAAGCTCTTACAGGGGCACAAGCATCGTTCTGAATGATCCCTTGCTATCTCAGGCTTTGGTTTGCTGGGACACGGTGTTACCACTCATTTTGTGTATTTCCATTTTCCCGGATGTGGATCCCGGCATGTGCAGAGGTTCATCTGCCACTCTGGAACGTGAAGCCATGGTGGCATCAGAGGTACCACTGGGCCTTTATCGCCGGCCACTGGTTGGCTGCAGGGCCATTCTCCGCCTCATTCACCAGTGAGCTGGTTTGCAGCCTCTGAACCCAGACTAAGTGGACAGTTTTGTTTTGACCTTCAGTGCCCTTCCCTGGGCTGCAAGACCTGCCCTTTCTCCTGGATTCCATATCTGCCGTCTCCTCTCATGATCTGTGAAGGGAAGCTTATAATTCTAGGATTCGTGTCTGTGTTTTGAGAAATCCCTCCCTCTGTTTCTCAAATGGGAACTCTCATTGCTTATTTTTCCCTTCTATACGAGTCAGGAATTGCTTCCTTGACCCAGAAAGCATTCTCAATGGAGACACTTAAATTTGAAAGCAATTTGGTAACAAGCTGCAACTCCTACAGTTTATAACTGACAAGCACTTCTTCCAATATCTGGTGCCCTTTTACCACAAGGCACTGCAATCTGAACAAACATTTAAACAAAACTTTGGATGAACGATCAAAGAGAGGGTTTCACTGTAAACCTTTCTACCCATAAAATAAGCAAAGCACTGGTCACAGACATAAGGTGACCAGAATATTCTAGAAGGATATTAATGAACTCACTGTCCTGGAGTGGATGCAGACCCCTAGTGGTGTTACAGAATGGAGTAGAACTGCCCCTGGGGTTTTCGAACATGTACATGTTTACGGGAGTAGAAAGCCTGGTCTTTCTCCCTCAGAGTGGCTGGCGGTTTGGGAGTGCAGACTCTGTGGCTGGCGCCCACCATGGCATTAAGGAAGGATATTAGAAATGTAAGGGAGCATCGCAGCCTCAACACAGAACACGTTGCTGCTCAGAATGTGGCCCAAGGTCCAGCAGCAGCAGCAGCAGCAGCAGCCGCCACTGGGAGCTTATTAGAAATGCAGACCCTCAGGTTGTACCTCCTCAGCTAAATGAGAATCTGCTCGCTGAGGGGCCCCTTAGCGGTTCAAATCAGAGACACTGGGAAAGTGCGGACTGTGAGAGATGAGGTGGCTTCCAAGGGGTCATGGGAAAACTCCACCGTCTTTTAATTCCATTTCCCCACAACGTTTTTGAAACCTCCTCCTCTTACCTCCCCTCCATTCTTTTACCTGTCCCTAACTATGGATACGAACTTGGACCAGTGACTTCGCCTTTGTGAATGTCTTCATGTGCCATTGATGCTGTTAGTACCAGTCGCCTCTTTTGTTCGAAGGACATACCGAGTTAAATCAAACAGGTGCTTTAAACAGGTCCTGGGGTTGAGCACACGCCCAGTAGTTCCCACGGCTGTACTGTCCTCAAGGTGTAGGGAAAGATCAAAGGAGTGGGAGCAAGCCTGGCATCGGTCAGGCCTGAAGCCAGGCGTCCTGGGGGTGGTATTTGGGACAAAAGTCCTCTGACCCAAGTCTTCCTATGGTTTGGTCTTGCCCTTGTGTGTCCTGTAGAGGTCAGGTGTGGTTCCTGGGGGCTGAGTGAGTGTTTCGGAGCTGGAAAGCACATACCTGTGCTTTGGTTTGGGAAGGGGCAGGGAGTTCTGGCCTAATAATCCTAGAGACGTTGGCATCACGTGTTGCACAGCTGGCATTGACTGAGCACTTCCTGGGTGCAGAGTGCGCCCCGAGGCCCTCTGTTTGTGATGGCAAGTGGATCCTGTCCCGTGTCTTAGATGCCGAAGCTCCTAATCCCACATTAGCAGGAAAGTCTG